TTCATCGACACCATTTCATGTTTAGAATTATATCTATTAACCATGATACTGAATTGAGTGTTTTCATTTATATTCATATACCGCATAATCTGTATTCATATTCAAATTCAACCTAAGATATGATTCCCCCCGAGGATTCCAACTTTAAATGGATCATTAACGGTTAATAATGATAACTTCAATTCTTTCTTGTACATGTATAACTTAACATCGACACTCATTTTGACCTGTTAGATCTGCTTGCATTTTAGTGTCATTAATTATTAAGAACGTTTGGCAGAATGTTTTTGCGTTAATTTTTTTTTTAATCTACAGCTAAGCAAGCCGTTTAGGGTGGATTTACTGTCTTATCAAATCATAAATTATCTACACCTCAAGCCATTTTAAGCAATGTAAACTGCACAGAGACCTTTTCGCTCAGTTGAGGGCCTCTATGGGGTAACGGCTTTTACGGCTCACGGTTACAATCTTGGTGATATTAAGGCTAACAGTTAACCGAAAAGGGCCTTGAAAACAGGAGAAGTTTTTACGGTTAAAAATTTGTCAACTTTCGTACCTAATGGTTAATGTTTTGGCGTTTTAAGGCTTACGGTTAACCAAATTGAGACCCTCATAGGCCGATGAACACCACTTTGATATATGGCTTCCAAACAGCTCTTGTAAAAAATTCACCTTGTTTGTCCTTGAAAACTTTTGTTCACGTTATTCATTTTCTGATAAATTTATCTTTTATGCAGTAGCTCCTCTTCATGATTCAAATGTACAAGTTATTTCTACAATACTGCAAAATATTTGCCAAACATGTCAACGCCGATGAAAATTTCCAAGAATGATACCGTTAGTTAAAATGTATCTCATCTTCAGACAACAGGACTACAAGGACTACGTATACAATGGACTTACCAGTTGACAACAGGACAAGTTGACAAGTTGACAAGTTGACAACAGGACTACGTATACTTTGGACTTACCTGAGGGAGTATTTCAGTATTCCTTTACTTTTAAAGATCGATAGAGAGACCCTCAGAAATGAAATGTTTGTTTAAACTTAGCCTACGTTGAATTTAGAACTTTATAAAATGCTGCAACGGTGCAGCAATGTAACACGATACCGCAATTACAACTTCTCTCAAAACTGCCACCAGATGATTTACCTTCAACCTTTTTGGCTGAAACCCAAGAAGTATATCCCTTTTGCGTGAAGTTATAAACAGGATATCCTTGCGAAAATGTTAATTAGTATACTCAAGTCTATATTCTTGCAAACTGTCTCAGAAATCGAAGGTCTTTCAAAACTCTTTTCTACTCATAACAAAATCTAAAAAATATTATGCTTTTTTTTACTGTAAGGAGGAAAGAAGGAAAAATATTAATTGTCTTTACGTCATGACATGGTCGACATTCAAATAATATCCCGTCCAGTCTGACTTTAATAACTCATTAAGCTTTTCCATCTATATAACCACTGCTCTTTCTCTTTATTTCTTGTCTTTCTCTCTTTTTTTTTTATTTCTCTTTTTTTTTTTTATTTCTCTCTTAATTTCCAACTCTCTCTTTATTCACTATACTTGCACACAGGGAGTTCAAACATTTTTCCGGCTTCGCTCGTGCCATCGTGCACAGCCCTCATCCGGGGCTTGTCAAATGTTCTTTTCAATAAAAGCGACAGTTTTGCCCGTTGTAAACATGTAGTTTAATCAGAATGAGCCGAGGAAGACCATTGTCTGACGAATTCTGATTCGAGTGGTTATGGATTTGTAATTTTTACGAACCAATCTATGAGCCATAGTTCTCCTATACACGTTGTCATTTTAAAATGTGACTGTAGATGAGTCTTCTTTTCTTTTTTCCTGCTCTTAAGGTAAAACAGTGCTGGGAACTAAAAACCATCGTTGATCAGGATCAGAGCTTCTACATGGACTACAAATCTTATGTTAGTTCACTCAAAAAATGAAACTTATATAAGATAAGGTCAAGTTAAAACCATTGTGCGTGATTCACAATAGTTGACTTAACCTGCATGTGCGAATTTTCTCTCAAATGCTGATGTGAAATTATCAAAAAACAGGTTCAGGCATCAGGAAATGATGTTTTGAATACCTTTGTTTGTATGCTTGAATAAACATGAACGCAATTAAGTAAGGAAATATTATGTTCAGAGACCTCGCTGAGAAAGATGTATCAGAAAAATATCGTTTCATCAAGAATTATATATTATGTCCTGTGGCCGCAGTGCCTTTTGGGATCCTGGCCACCATCTCATACTAAGAATCATTTGTATCAAGTACTTGTATACATGTATATTTTAAAAATGTACTGAATACTCTGGTATATATTTAGATTCAACAGCTTCTGGAATTGCGCGCGCGGAGCCGTACGTACGGGTCTTACGATAATTTTCTTATCATCGATAAATTATTGATTAAATTTTTGTTTTAAATTTTTATTTCTTTTTTCGAAGAGATACCTTATTAGTACGCGTCCGCTCAATCTTACATTACCTCATTATACTTTAGGAAGCCTAAATCTTTAGTTTAATTTGATAACGCCTCTAAACAAAGCAGTGTTGTCTCTCGAAATTGTCTTGATCTTTTTGGAAAATTAAAGCAAACTAACATAGCATTCCGAAATTTGACAGATACAAATCATTACTCCGTTTCTTCCGGAAAATCAAGGGTCTCGGCCGACTTAACAAATTATCATTGTAGTATGTCGACACCTTTCGGTATAGTCACTAAGCCTCTTAGCGACATCACATTTTTGGAACGAGAGAATCAGTGGTTTATTTTTACTAGAAAGAAGTCAGTAGATAAGTCTGTTTTGAACCAATACCTTTGGGAAGGAGACCCCTTGGTTTTCATTTCGCTTATTTTGTATTGTGTTGCCAGTGAAGGGTAGTTGGCTTCGTATTTTTAGATCAAGATATTTATTAAAGGTTATGCGTTTTGAAAACTCCCTTCAGACTGACATTACAGCAACAATGTCGCAATAGCGATTTCTTAAAGAGCGCACCACGCATCATCACAGTGTATCATTCTGGCGAAAAATCGCTATGGGGTTTATCGTATGACGAGGAATGTATCATCGCGATAAACGTGTTACACGGTACATGGCAACTTATTTTCTTGCGAGTTATTCGACTTTATCTTTTATATTCGTTTACTTTTCATTGCAAACACCGCTGGAACCTAAAAACCAAGGGAGACTCTTAAAGTCTGCCAGGTGGAACAGGAGGATAAATTACCCCGATCAAGACACGATTTCTGACAACAGACACCTCTGCTGGCCATGTTCTTCAAGTTTCATGAACGCAGACTCCAAAATGGAACACTTTTTTTTAACTAACATGAGAAGTACGAATAGACAATCGTGTTAGTCTCCGCGGGGAATCGAACCTCAGCCCTTCGCATTCCGCGTCCGTTGCTCCAATACTGAATCTACAGTGAGCTAAACTTTTGGGGTTAAATTTCAACAGACGTGGCTCAAAATACATTCTGCATTATAATTGCTATATAGTTTGCAGGTAGGCTCCAAATGTGAGCCTGCGAGCAGTCTGTATCGTACTCTCCTTATCCTGATCTTTAACCTCTGAAAGTCAAGTTTGCTAAACGCTGTACTTTTGGATTCCTTTCTGTCTTTCGTAACTGTCAATATTTTCAAAATAAGTTCTCTCTTTTATTTTTGTAAATAAAGTGCCTCTAACTAAATGTGTTTGTTTGCAGTACACATTGTAAGTAGTGAAAGTAGAACAATGTAAGTAGCCTAAATACCGGTATTTATTGTATCGTAAGAGTACTGTAAGTATCATAATGTAAGTGTTGTAACGCAATGTACGTAAAGAATTACATGCAATTATTCCTCATCTAGTTAAGGCAAGTATTGAGGGTAG